CATGTCAGTTGTTGCTTTAGTACTTCTGAATGAAGTTTATAAATTGATTTGTCAATCTGCTTTGGAAAAAAAATACATATATATAAAGTTTAAATTAAGGTTACCATTGTATTGCACTATATCTTTTAATCTGAATTATTAATTGATATTTCAATTTAGCAAATCAATTTTGAATTCAGGTTCATCTTGGAAAGTTGGATTTTTTAAAATGCAGTACTGTAATTAAGAAAATACCAAATGTCAAACTATCAAAATTATCTAATTCAGAATTTTTCTATTTAGTAAGAAAATACCTTCATAAATTCTGAATTCACACTGCTTTTAAAAATTTAATTTTTTAACAAGATCCAAAATTAACAGGGTAATTTCAGATAAGAAAGAACTACACGGCAGAGCCTCAACTCACAATGTTAATATGTTCCTAAAAATTGTGTTCGTGTTTGAGAAGAATTTGCACAGTATGGGCCAGTAGGCCTGCTTCAATGTTCCTCTTTTCTTATGTTCTTATGTCAAGTGTTCAATACTTGGAACCTATTATCCCATAAAATCCCATGCTATAATTGTAGATGAGTTCCTGAACCATATTATTCTGGTAGGGTGCTGGGGGATATGTAATGTGGGAAGGTAGGGAAGAGCATAATGGTGTAAGGGAGGGTGCAGCAGTTTCTGTTGGAATATTGGAAATAATTGTGTTCATAGCTCAGTGCACAGTAAACCCTTGATATCAGAGATTAATAGGGAGGATTGTCTGATTATTCATCAAATCAAGGGTTTACTGTAATTAATTGGTTCCACAGTGCCATGTAATTAATGAGAACATTGAAAGTCAGGCCCCTATTGTACCTAAAATGTAAATTTTCTGAATACAAGAGAGGTGTGCAATTGTCTATAATTCAGACGCTCCTGTACATATTATTCCAAAGCAAAAAGATATATTACTTACAGTTAACTTTTTTGATGCTGTTTACTATAAGCTTTAACATTAACATTGTTTAGAACTTTATAATATATGTAGTTTATAGTTAGGTACAGTCAAATCCCATCAAACTAAACCCTGTTAAGCCAAAACCTCACTATCCTGAATTGAACCCTTCTAAAAAGGAGTAAGTTGTACTTTTTTCTAACCCTTTCACTGTCCAGTAGCTATGTTGCTAGTATGCCTTCCATTCTATTGAGTGAGTACAAGAAACCACCCATTCAACTATTAAAACTACCCTACAGAGTGAACAGATTGTGGTAATTTTGCCAATTCTAAATACAATTAAAAAATTCCAATTTACATTGTAAACATTCCAGGCACTAAAACTATTTCCTCTGTGCAATGATCATATCCCCAGGCCTTTCCTATATTACTGCCTTCCATTTTGAATTAGCTATCACAAAAATCAAAGATTTACCTTATTTCTGGAAAAATCAAATATAACCAGGAATGATCTGTCATGGTTTATGGCATTCCAATAACTGAATCAGACCTAGTAAAAAGCAAAAAAACAGACAGGAGGGTGTAGGAAGCCAATTTCAAGCTACATCCAGTCTTAGAACCAATTAAAATCATATCTTCCATTCTATGAAAAGATTTCAAGAAACAGTCAGTTAAACTATAAAAACCATTCTAGAAAACACCTTAAAGTCTTTATTTTAAATCAAACATAAGGTCAGAGTGTTGCTTTTCTCATCATGCACTGCTTGAGGCAGGATTTTTTGAATTTCATACTGCATATGCCCATTCTCACATATCTAGGCCAAAATTGACCACTTATATCTTATCTGAGTGAGTTGAGCTTATGACACTGATCTACATGATGGACCATGGTGTTAATGATGTAGCTCTACATGATGGACAGTCAAAGGGCTAAAAAGTTAAACTCGTAAAAAAAAAAAAAAGTAAAATTAACTTTTTTCTGAAAACTGTTCTAGCTGGAAGTAGAAATAACATGCCCACTGTTGGCCAACTGCAGACAACACTTACTTAAATTTTGATAAATGTTTAAAGCTGTAAGGCTGGTTATGGTGTACCCCCATTGGCTCAGAGAGTTTATGATAATGGGATTCGACCACACTTTTCAATGGAATTAAGTTAAAATAAAACTAGTGTGTTAAGAATCTACATACTTATAAATTTTAACTATGTCACTTAATATGTAATAAATGAAGTTATGATAATCTTCTCTACCAAGTACACTACAAAATAAATACTGTATTCAATACAAAATACTGTATACAGGTCTCCCTCAACATCTGCGAGGGTTAGGGGATCAAGAACCTTGCGAATGTTGAAAAATTGCAAATGTTTGGTGCCCCAATATATTGTAGGGAAATATAATACAATACTGCTTCCTTAACCTATTGAACCATGAACAATCATAAAATACATGAAAACATTGTAAAATATTGTACTATATACATACATGTTATGGTGTAATAACATATATGTTATTAAATACCACTGCCTCCACCACTGCCTCTACCACTGCCTCAACCACTGCCTCAACCACTGCCTCAACCACTGTGGCACACTGCCTCGTATTTTTGTACAATTTCTTTCTTTAATTCTACCGTGTTTCTCAATTTCTTTACTAAAGGGCTGGCACTAGCAAGTTTCTTTGGGCCCATGGTTAATTATGTAGCAGTCGCACTCAATCTACAAGCACCAAACACAAGGAATTATTGTGAAATGTTTGGAAGAGCGCGGAGGCTAATGCTCACCCCAGCATAAACAAAGCCACACTGACTCACGATACCTCAACCACTGCCTCCACCACTGCTTTAACCCTCGTATTTTTGTACAATTTCCTTTTTCAATTCTATCATATTATTATTATTATAATTATTAGCAGTAGCAGTAGCATAAATGTTCAATTCTTTGCCGTGTTTAAGAGTAAACAAATGATGTCACCATCCAATACCTGTCCGAATGGCCATTCCAATATGCAGTCATGAATGGGTTGACATTATTTATACAGTGGACCCTCGACCAGCGATGGCATCGATTAACGATAAATCTGACTAGCGATACATTTTATCGCAAAAATTTTGCCTCGATTAGTGCTAAAAAACTCGACCAACACTATTCGTTCCATCTGAACGCGTCCACTTCTGGCCAGTGTTTACAAGCCAGCCAGCCACCGCGGTCGCTTCCAAGCATACAATCGGAACATTTCATATTATCACAGCCTTTTTAGTGATTGCACCTGCAAAATAAGTCACCATGGGCCCCAAGAAAGCTTCTAGTGCCAACCCTACAGCAAAAAGGGTGAGAATTACTATGGATATGAAGAAAGAGATCATTGCTAAGTATGAAAGTGGAGTGCGTGTCTCCGAGCTGGCCAGGCTGTACACAAAACCCCAATCAACCATCGCTACTATTGTGGCCAAGAAAATGGCAATCAAGGAAGCTGTTCTTGCCAAAGGTGCAACTATGTTTTCGAAACTGAGATCGCAAGTGATAGAAGATGTTGAGAGACTGTTATTGGTGTGGATAAACGAGAAACAGATAAGTCACTCTGTCTGACTTTTTTGGGTTATCCTAGGTTTTCTGCACATATGCTGCTATGTATGATAATTCTATGTAACTGTATTTGTGTATACCTGAATAAACTTACTTACTTACTTAGCAGGAGACAGCATCTCTCAAGCGATCATTTGTGAAAAGGCTAGAAAGTTGCATGACGATTTAATTAAAAAAATGCCAGCAACTAGTGATGTGAGTGAATTTAAGGCCAGCAAAGGTTGGTTTGAGAGATTTAAGAAGCGTAGTGGCATTCATAGTGTGATAAGGCATGGTGAGGCTGCCAGTTCGGACCACAAAGCAGCTGAAAAATATGTGCAGGACTTCAAGGAGTACATAGACAGTGAAGGACTGAAACCTGAACAAGTGTTTAATTGTGACGAAACAGGCCTGTTTTGGAAGAAAATGCCAAGCAGGACGTACATTACTCAGGAGGAAAAGGCACTCCCAGGACATAAGCCTATGAAAGACAGTCTTACTCTGTTGATGTGTGCCAATGCTAGTGGTGATTGCAAAGTGAAGCCTTTATTGGTGTATCACTCTGAAACTCCCAGAGTGTTCAGGAAAAACAATGTCGTCAAGGCTAATTTGCGTGTGCTGTGGAGGGCAAACAGTAAGGCATGGGTCACTAGGGACTTTTTCTATGACTGGTTACACCATCCATTTGCCCCCAATGTGAAAAATTACCTATTTGAAAAGAAATTAGACCTTAAGTGCATCCTGGTATTAGACAATGCTCCTGGTCATCCTTCAGACTTGGCAGAGCGACTTTCTAGGGACATGAGCTTCATTAAGGTGAAGTTTTTGCCTCCTAATACCACTCCTCTTCTAAACACTAAGAAGATCAATGCTCTCCCCTCCTCCCATCCCATCAATCATCACCAGATCTTCAACAAAGGTAAGTGTCATGTAACTGTGCATGTAATCTTCAGTTTGTGTGTATTAAAATTAATATTTCATGTGGTAAAAAATTTTTTTTCAATACTTTTGGGTGTCTTGCACGGATTAATTTGATTTCCATTATTTCTTATGGGGAAAATTAACTTGACTAATGATAATTTTGACTAACGATGAGCTCTCAGGAATGGATTAATATCGTTGGTTGAGGGTCCACTGTACTGTAGTTTAATAGCAAATAATGAACAAACAAAACACTCACCACACCGACTGAGTGGTGGGCGGGCTGGCTGCCAGTTGCAGGGGTTGGAGGGAGGGTAGTAAGGACGCGCGGGTGGTGGGAAACTTAAATATGATTTGGCAGCTAGGAATTCGCGAATGTGTGAAGCCCGTGAAAGTTGAAAATGCGAATGTTGAGGAAGACCTGTACTGTTTTATTTATACTATAAATTATTCCATACAAAATGAAAAATACACTAATATTGTATACCGAAACAAAGAAATATGCTGTCATGTGTACATTAAAATGAAACTACTTAATCAATACCTGTCAGACCATCTTCAGCCTAAACAAAATTATCAGTGCATTACTTACATTAAGTTTCTTGGCCGAGTCAACCCACACCATGAGAACTGCACTATGTAGAGGATTCTTTGTGGTGGTCTGCAGGGCTCGGATTTCTTCTAGTTGCTAGTGATGAAAAAATGGTTAGTCTGATGAAGAGCTACCATAAAGTTTTAAGTAATTTGAATATACAGGTCAGCCATCGCTAATCCGGCATCACTAGGACCGGCAGTATACCAGATTAGTGAGTTTGCCGGATTACAGAGTGGTTAGGTTAGAATACACTTAATAAAGTTAACCAAGCTGAGCTGTTTCATATATTTTGGCCTTTTTTTGATTAGTTTATCCTGCAGCATGTAAACGCTCATTATTTCATGTTCACTTATAAAACTGCGTTGCTCCAGACCTTTTAGCAGTTCACCTGTTAACTGAATTAACCTATGAATAGAGACTCTTTCTGCTATATCCTTCTCATTTTCATCACTGCTTTCTCCTTCACTGATGTCTGCTGTGGATTTATAACAATCTGCACAATTTCTGAGTCAGCATAATGATGAAATTTGAGTCAGTATAATGATGAAATCTGAAATTATGCTAGTCAAAATTAGTGCTGAATTACTGATGGGATCGGATAACTGACAGCCGGATTAATGATGGTCAACCTTTACTACTTTTTTCTAAAAAAACAAAAAACAAATAAAAACAAACTTTTCCATAGTTCAACCATGAACCTTGGAGAGCTGAGAACTGGTCAATGCAAGAACAATGATGCTCCTGGTTTTCTAGTATCCTTTTGAAAGTTCTTTAGTTTTTAGTTATAACTTCTTTATTAGCCTGCTCACTGAGTTAGGTCTTCTTTGTATATTCTTTTGTATCCTTTTATAATCACAGATGTGACTATTTTTTTTCCCAATTCCTATCAGCCAAAATTGGTATATCCAATGCATTAAGCCTTTCTTCAAAATTCATTTATTTTTTTAAGCTCTGAGAGCTATATCATAGCTCATCCTAGGACGTTTTCTAGCTTGTCCAAAGGTTTCTTACCTTCAGGTGCTGGCATCTTGCCACTGATACTTATTCTGGTTTGGTCTAGAAGATTTTATGAATAGCTGTTTAAAAAAAAAAAAAAAAAAAATCCATTCAATTATCAAAAAAAAAAAAAAATTAAATCTGCCTGTGCTGCAATTTATATCAATTTACATGCATACAAACAACAGATCAGAGCATATATACTATATATACAAACCAATTCTAGGGAACCTGCAGAATCACTGAGGTCTAACCAAGAAGCTCGGACATGTATACGGCCTGACTTTGCATCAGACAATGGCACCCACTGTAAGAATGCAAATTATACATTATTAATTTCTGCACATGTAAAGTAAGTATTTCATTACTTGCATAAAATTGGTAATTAGAATAACAGAAACCTACCTTCTCTCAAAATAATAAACAGGATGTGCAACAATGAAAATACAGTACATACTGTAAAATGAAAACTGACATAAATGATCAACATGACATATTGCTATATGAACTGATCATTCATTAGAACTTTAAATTCTTTCAGGAATAATAAAAGTTGGAAAGTGAAGTACTGACAAATACTGAAAATTATAACCTTTTCACCTTTTACTGGTGCAATACTTCACTTTCACGTAGCAATACTTGTTATGTACAGTACAGGTAGAAAATTTATATATGGTAAGTAAAAGTAGCATACAGTATTATACATTGTAAACTATATACACAAATATAATGCAATGTTATATGAAGTCAAAAATCATTTACTACTTCATAATACTCACCATATCCACTTCTCCACTCTTCCAAATGTCATGAACATCGAGGTTTGCTCTGTTGGTAGGTATGAAAATTAAGAAAAAGATTTAAATTCTGCTCAATACGAAGTCATGAAATCTAATAACTATATTAATAACCTTCAAGTAATATTACTGTAATTTAAAAGAACTCTGTCAACTGATACTAAATAAAGCAAACAATACACAGTAGAACACAATAATTTTATATCAGTATTCCATGCATTTAAAAACAAAATGTTATCAGGTATTGTCAAATGTTCACAATTAAAATCATTACTTTGTTTTAAAGACCTCCTTCAGTACCTTCAGTTATTGTATATACAGCATGCTCTGGCAAAAATGCATATCTAAAAATTTCTTGCCAAAAGTAAATTTTTAATCTGCATAATTTACAAAAATCTTGCATATAATTCTTCCTATAATTTACTCACTTGATGAATTCATTTTACTCATCACATAAAACTAAATACAGAGAGTCCTTATTATAAGTCTCCACATTTTATAACAATTCTTTGTGCAACTGCTGATGTAGTAAGGCATGTATTCTCTATAATATCTCCTGTGGATATGATGTACAGTACTATGTTTGAGCAGGCAAACATGTGCCAATATTCACCTTTTCTATGCAAAAATATTTTATCATAGGTAATTTTCTCCAAAAACTGAATAAAATCTAGTCCAGCAGCTGCTTCATACTGCAATCATGTGACCAACAAATGCATAACTCAAACATGTGCCAAAGGTCGGGATGCACCAGAATCACCAGTTTAGGGAGGGGAATGAGAAAGGAGGGAGGTTGGAGAGTGAGAGAAGGGTGGATGTGCAGGAAGCGAGAGAGGGACAGAGGAAGGGAAAAGTGAAGAGGTAAGCTTTTTAAGGGAGCAGAGAGAGCAGAAATGGGTGGAAGGAGAGAAAGAAAGGGTGGAGGGAGTTAGAGAAAGAGTGGAGGGAGTGAGAGGGTGAAGGGAACAAGAGAAGAGGGAGAGGGAGCAAGAGAGAGGGTGGAAGTAGGAAGAAAGATGGAGGGAGCAAGAAAAGGGAAAAGACTGATAGTAAATCATTGCAGAAGATGACACTAATCATCTCTACATCTGAGGGTTGATTTTTTTTTAACACATCAACTGTTTCCCGAGGCAGGATGACCCAAAAACAAAGAAAAACCCCAAAAGAAAGAAAAAGCTTTCATCATCATTCAACACTTTCACCATCACTCATACATAATCACTGTCTTTGCAGAGGCACTCAGATACAACAGCTCAGATGTCCCTCCAAATTGCCAATATCCCAAACCCCTCCTTTAAAGTGCAGGCATTACACTTTCCATTTCCAGGACTCAAGTCCGTAGAGGATAAACAAAATACAGATATAGTATACAGACTTTGCAAAAGCTTTTGACAAGTGTGACCATGGTGTAATAGCACACAAAATGCGGGATAAAGGAATAACGGTAGAAGTTGGTAGATGGATCTACAACTTCCTGACAAATAGAACACAAAGAGTAATAGTAAACAGAGTAAAGTTCCAGGCAGCCACGATAAAAAGCTCTGTTCCACAAGGCACACTACTCACTCCCATTCTATTCCTCATCCTCATTTCTGACATAGATATGTAAACCATAGCTCCATGTCTTCCTTTGCGGATGATACCCGGATCACCATGGCAGTGACCTCCATCAAAGGCACTGCGAGACTCCAGGCGGACATCAACCAAATCTTCGAATGGGCCACTCAAAACAATATGAAGGTCAATGAGGAGAAATTTTAACTGCTCAGATATGGAAAACATGAAGAAATTAAAAATGTGTCAGGGTATACCACAAATTCTAACCATACAATAGAGCAAAAAAGTAATGTGAAAGAACTGGGAGTGATAATGTCAGAGGATCTCGCCTTCAAAGCCCACAACAAAGCATCTACCTCATCCGCTAGGAAAATGATAGGATGGATAATGAGAACCTTCAAAATTAGAGACGCCAAGCCCATGATGATTCTCTTCAAATCACCTGTGCTCTCTAGGCTGGAATACTGCTGTACACTAACGGTCCCCTTCAAGGCTAGTAACATTGCAGACCTGAAGAGTGTACAAAGAACTTTCACGGCACACATAAGTGTGATAAGGCACTTAAACTACTGGAAACGGTTGAAGGTCCTTGATCTGTATTCCCTCGAACGCAGGCGAGAGAGATACATGATAATATACACTTGGAAGGTCCTGGAGGGATTGGTACCAAACCTGCACATGAACATAAATCCATATGAAAGCAAAAGATCCAGCAGGAGATGCAACATTCCCCCAATGAAAAGCAGGGGTGCCACAAGTACACTGAGAGACAACACAATAAGTGTCCAGGACCCAAGACTGTTCAATTGCCTACCAGCATACATAAGGGGTATTACCAATAGATCCCTGGCTGTCTTCAAGAAGGCACTGGACAGGCACTTAAAGTCAGTACCTGACCAACCGGGCTGTGGTTCATATGTCAGCTTGCATGCAGCCAGCAGTAACAGCCTGGTTGATCAGACCCTGATCCACCATGAGGCCTGGTCTCAGACCGGGCCGTGGGGGCATTGAGCCCCGAAACCCTCTCCAGGTAAACTCCAGGTAAACCGGTTTCCCTGAATCCCTTCACAAAATATTACCCTGCTCACACTCCAACAGCTTGTCAGGTCCCAAAAACCATTTGTCTCCATTCACTCCTATCTAACATGCTCATGCATGCTTGCTGGAAGTCCAAACCCCTCGCCCACAAAACCTCCTTTACCCTCTCCCTTCAACCTTTTTGGGGATGACCCCTACCCTGCCTACCTTCCCTGACAGATTTATACACTCTCCAAGTCCTTCTACTTTGTTCCATTTGCTCTAAATGACCAAACCATCTCAATAATCCCTCTTCAGCCCTCTAAATAATACTTTTAGTAACTCCACACCTCCTCCTAATTTCCATGCTACGAATTCTCTGCATAATATTTACACCACACATTGCCCTTAGACACAATATCTTCACTGCCTCCAGCTGCCTCCTTGCTGCAGCATTTACAAACCATGCTTCACACCCATATAAGTGTTGGTACCACTATACTCTCGTACATTCCCTTCTTTGTCTCCACAGATACCTCAATGCACCACTCACCTTTTTTCCTTTATCAATTCTATGGTTAACCTCATCCTTCATAAACCTATCCACTGACATGTCAACTTCCAAATATCTGAAAACATTCACTTCTTCCATACTACCTCCCTCCAATGTGATATCCAATTTTTCTTTATCTAAATCATTTGATACCCTCATCACCTTACTCTTATCTATGTTCATTTTCAATTTTCTACCTTTACACACCCTCCAAAACTCATCCACTAACCTTTGCAACTTTTCTTTAGAATCCCCCAAAAGCACAGTATCATCAGCAAAAAAGTAACTGTGTCAACTCCCATTTTGTATTTGATTCCCCATAATTTAATCCTACCCCAAGTTCCATAGGCTTTCTTAACTTATTTATCTCCAAAATGTTTTCTTATTCTCAGCAAAATTTCTTGGCAGTGCCTCTCCCACTCTATCATTTGCTCTCCTTTTGCACTCTCTCACCATTCTCTTCACCTTTCCTTTACTCTCCATATACTCTGCCCTTCTTATATCACTTGTGCTTTATAAAAACCTATCATAAGCTTCCTTTTTCTCTTTTATTGCCCCCTTTACCTCATCATTCCACCAATCACTCCTCTTTCCTCCTGCACCCACCCTCCTATAGCCACAAACTTCTGCCCCACATTCTAATACTGCATTTTTAAAACAATCCCATCCCTCTTCACCCCTCCCCCCTACCCATACTTGCACTAGCCCACCTTTCTGCCAATAGTTGCTTATATCTCACCTTAAATATCTACATGTATATTTCAAATAAAATATACTTACAGGTTTAGCATGAATGTTAATACCATAATTAATATTGCATAACTGAATATTATTGAACAGTATAGGGACAATATTTGTAATGCATAGGTGAAAAGAAATGTAAATATAATGCAGAACATTACATGCTGCAAAAAAATTTCTTTGGAACACATCTACAATAATAAACTGGGCATTTATAGACCAGCTTGTTTCATTTCCCTATGATTTGCTTTATAACCAATTTTGTTGGAATGAATCTAGAACATATAACAAGGACTCCCTATACCAGTACTTTGTTGCTCGACTGAAAGACAATGATACCAAAACTAATATGAAATGGATACAATGAAAGCACTTGCTTTTTTGTTGTATCTACAATCTCAGTGGTTGAAGGTACACCTCATGCCACTAAATATTACCCAGATGCATCCATGGGCCTCAAGTAGTCCAAGTTAAATAAATAAATAATACTTCACAAAGTTTTCTTAAAATGCAGTAATAAATCAGAAAGTGTAAATTAAGGTCTTGGTCTAAAAAATCATATATTTTAAATTGACCTACTGAATTAACATATGAGTAGAACCTAATGTTTTCCACTTATATTCAATTTGTACTGTATTAGGTAAATAATAATGTTTATTACATTTTGTCATATGCCTCAAAATATACATCATCTAATCTCGAAGACTGATAAGACGTCTCAGATGATCTTGAAGACAAGACAGTTTCAAATGCAACCCATAGTTCACAAATTTATATGCAATTTTACACAAATAACCCGCACATAAAAGAGAGAAGCTTACGCGACGTTTCGGTCCGACTTGGACCATCGTCAATGGTCTAAGTCAGGACCGAAACGTCGTTGTAAGCTTCTCTCTTTTATGTGCGGGTTATTTGTGTATCGTTCCAGTCACGGTATTGTGCCTTTTTTGTTATTTATGCAATTTTAAATGAAGTTTAATTTTTAATAATTCAATTAACATTTTAGGATCCTGAAGATGATATTTATGAATTCATTGAAAAACCATCTAGTGATGGATCTGCTAGCTGAACATAGTTTTTGTTCTCACCTTGTAACCATGGCTATCATAGACTACATAACCACACAATGTAATTGTACATAAGACTGATTAATAAAAACACTA